AATAAGGAGGAGCTAAGCAGGTCGAGGAGGACGAGCTGCTGAGTCATGAAAAGGAGCAACAAAGACAGACTCAGACATGATGGTAATGATAGATGTTTGTAAGTGCCCATGTTGAGGAAAAGCGCTGAGTTTTGGGCAGACTCAATGCATTGACCAACTGGGCCATTGCTCTATGTGTACGTTTAACCCAAGTGATTGGGGATGTACACAATCCTTCGTCAGTGCAGAATTAGGCAGCTATTTGCGGAGCTGCTGGCTTAGCACTGCTTGTTCACACCAAGCCCATGTACTATTCATATGCCTGACACAGCAACTCCTCTCTCCCACAGAGATTACACACACACAACACACTCCAGTACCAACACCACACTGCATGCAAGTCTACTGTAGGCTGAGCACAACACAGAGTAGTCAGACAGCTGAGCCACCTGTAGTTAGATTTATAACATGCTTTTTACTAAGTTTATATCTGGATGATAAAAATGAGTCAAACATAAATAGCAATGACAGAGTGTGGCGCAAACATATTCACAGTGAGATGCTTGCAAATGTGAAGTTGCCCATTATGAGAGACAACAACATGCAAAGTTAGAATGCAAAGCAGGCTTTAGAGTTTCGGTGACATGAGTGCTGAGGAAAAAGGTAAACCTATCAGGAGTCACATACACAACATGTGTGTGTGAAGCTGTGTGTGTTGGTGTATGTGTGTATGAATGGGTATCGGTGAGGCGGAGCAGTAAGTGGCGTACCTGACAGCAGTCACATAGCCAATCTGCCCACAGGATGACAAGCCTGAGCCAAGACAGTCAGTCTGCCCATGATTCAGCCTTGAGGAAATACCACATTCATCTGGCAAATGCAGAGAGTGTGTGTGTGTCTGTGTGTGTGTGTGTGTGTGTGTGTGTGTGTGTATTTGTGTGAATGAATGAGAGGGTATGAGAGAGATGGAGGGAGGAGGAGAGGAAATGCAACGGCACTGTGTACAGCATCCAGAATGGAAAATGTTCAGCTCAGCCCAATTCTGCACAGTATACTCATACCATAAAGTTTTTACGACATTCCCTTCGGTTTAGAACACTGAGTACTTTAATAGAAAAATGGTGACAGTGCACTATTTTGTAGTTTGGTAGTTCTGTAATAGTAACAGAAAATACAAGCCAACCAAACATTTCAATTTAAAATTTGAAATACAAAAACTACTACAACTCTTTCTTATGGATTTGTAACTTGTCTAAGTCTGGACTGGAGCCGTCACACCGCCACATATAGATAGAGGACCATGAATCATCTTATAAACATATCTCCAGTTTCACAATTTTGCAAACTCATTGCATCAGTCTTCTTTGCAACACCAGGCACACTACAGCAATATATTTACCAATTTCTAAAGAGCATTTGAGAAACAGGAAGCAGTAAAAGCATCTGATTATTTACATATGGGAAGTGGTGACAAAAGTGGTCACAAAAGACCTTTGCATTTTAACATCGGGGGTAAATTTAATCTGCTGCTTTATCTTTAAACAGCAATGTGTCAGCTAGTGTGCACACAAGCAAAGTGCCCAAATGATAAAAACCGGCAGAAATGAATACAGATACTGAGACTGAGTGTATAGCACACTACATTCCAGTATAAACACTAAACCAGAACATCGTCATGCAGTTTGTTCGTTTGTGTTGTTCAGCTGATAGATTTCTGATGCTTTAAATTAATATCCATCATGTATTCAGACCAGTACTATGCTAGAAGGTCAGTTCAGTCAGACAACTTGCAACACAGTTACAGTCTGGTGTCTAGACTCTGAACTCATCACGCCCCGCAGACAGTTACATATTGGAGAGTGATGAGTGAATGTTTTCCCCCCTAGCTGGAACCTGCAGGTGGATGCTAGGGTGGAGGTGGGGCTGAAAGAGCAGGCAGCGGCATCGACAAGGCAGAGGGAGAGCTGGGAAATTTTTGGAGCTTTCATAGACGACCAAATTGAGCAGGTGTGCTTTGTCAGTGACATGTGGGGAGTGACGAATGACGTGTGTGTTTGAATTAGTGCAGCTCGAGTTGCCTGCCTGAGCTAGATCACAGATGTTGCCCCATTAACATAGTATCAACATCAGCTCTGTTGCGGTGGTTAGCAGTCATGTGAAACCTGGTACAAACGTGTTTGGATATACTGAACACTTTCCCTTCTAGGAACTGAAAGGTCCACCGACAGTTTTTGCAGTGTTGTTTACAGGGTTCAAAATGACCACAAGGCAGTTTGTACTTAACTTTGTACAGAATGCTCAACTCTGTTTGGTCAAGTACGTCAAAGACTACAGCAATGCTAATTGCTTTATTAGGTAGCCTACTGAGGCACAGTGTTGCTTTGAACTAAATGCTAACATCAGCATGCTAACACGCTCATAATAATAATAATAATAATAATAATGATGCTAACATGAAATTTCAGGAGTGATTTTACCATGACCACCATTTTAGTTTTTCACACTGGATGCGGAAGCGCCGCAAAGTGCACCAGTTTTCTGTGGAGCGCTGCCCGCTTGCTTTCGGCGGCCTCATTTTCCAATTGACCTATGGCTAAGCCACGCCCCCTCTACTCACTCGGACAAACATTCAGTGCCCGGCGCTATGGCAGGTGTCACAGCACACGGCATTTCGCAGGAGGCAATTGATAATTTTTGGGGACATAAGGATCGGATGTCATTGAGAAGTAACCAAAAGGGCCTAAATTAGGCATTGGAGGGATATAATCATCATTTTATTGTTGAGAAGCTTGATGAAAAGCTTAAATTACAAGCCAAAATTTACAGGTCACATACGCTTGTGAACCGCGTCTCGTTGCCACCGCCATCAAAGACAACAAGTAAAGTGTCACTGAAGTTAAGGTTTTTGGCTCAGAATATGAGAAAAGGATAATGGCCTTTTTACCATCCTTCCTAAGAGTGTCTCTCTGTTAGTTTGGTGCTGCATTATTTACACTGAATCATTCAACATAACGTTTGCCAACCTTTGTTATCTCTGCGATTACAAATAGGCTACATTAATGAAGCTAAGCTCCAGAAGTTAATGTTAGCTTAACTTGAGCCCTTTGGACACCAGCTAACAATGATGTACGATCACCAAAGTACAAAACTAGAACAAAATAGGCTAATGAACAAGGTGACATGATGAACAACGCAGCTAGGAGCTAACGTTCGGCTAACTTTAGCTAGAGATGTTAAAGATAACTTTATAACCTTATTTCTTTCCAGCAAAGTGACAATATGTTGCCTCAAACATGATGTTGACTTACCTTAGAACAGATGTAGACATCATTGTTAATCTTATTCACGTTGAGTTCACGTTGAGTGTCTCCAAAGGAGACACTTTTCTCTGTTGAGATGTGGTTTAGGAAAGTGTAAAAAATATACCTCGTCGCCCAGCCTCTCAGGATACCTTGTGTCGGAGTTGCATGTACCCCATGCACACCGTTGGACCATTTTTAAACTTCAAATCTCCAAAAAAGCTCATAAAACCAAAAACTGACTTTCTGTAATACATTTCAATGAACGTCCAGGCAGAGAATGTTCAAGTGTATGGGAATGGCTATACGCACTGTGATTGGCTTATTGCGTTTGAGGGCGGGACTTAGCCATAGGTCAATTGGGCCATTCACACTGGACACAGCATGGCAGCGAGCACCCTAGCCTGCTCACAATGTGCAATAATAGTTTCAATGTCTGGTGCATTTTTTCCAAAAGCCGTGAACAAATCTGCCAAGAAAACACACTGAAAATGTATTGTAAACGATATAAAGTGTAAATTAAATATGACAATTGACACTTTTCACACATTCTCACACCACGCGTCCATTTTCTGCCATGAAAACGTATATTTTAATTATTAACATTACAGCACACAAAGAGGACACTGTTAGCGTGCTGACAAAACAGAGCAGCTCAGCACAACAGCAATACTGTACTGCCCTGTGGTCAAACTAGTGGCAGCTATGATTCTGATGCACGTCTATTTGTACTGTTATTGTACCTGTGCTTTTATATACTAAATAAAACTGTCAGCAATGAAGTCCTAATTTGATAAAACCACAATAAGTTTGTAATACATTGAAAATGTCCCGATTTTTACACATGATAAATGTTTTCTTTTAGAGGTTTGTTGAAATTTTCAATGTAATCCAGTTTTGGATGACTCTGACTATGACCATGTCAAATTTGATGTACTTACTGTAGAGTTTTAGAGAAAATGAAAGAAGGTTTAGCTCAATTTACATTAGGTCTACAGCACATTGACAATTTCCTTGTATATGAACTGTCATAATTTATTTCTCTTCAGAGATTTGCTGAAATTTTCAATGGAGAATGACCCTGACTGACCAGGTCAACAGTGTCAACTTCATGGTGGCACTAAAGGAAAAGTCTGAGTCAAGTCATAGCATGGCTAAAGATATCCATTTGAAATTTTACCAGTTGGCTACAAGCATCACATTAAGACTGACTGCCAAATTATGTATTGCTATAAAGGTTTGTGCTGTTAGTAATACCCACAGTGATCATGTATTGTGTTGGCAACATATTCAGAAACATATTAAAGATAAATGTCTTTTATAAAATTCTGTTAAATAATTTTATCAGCCAGTATTTTCACCAAGCACGTAAAGCTCATAAAAATATTCTTTTTTTTCTGCCACAGATCTTGAGTTTCCCACCACTAGACTTGCGAGTACAATAATCTCATTTTGTACTCACAATTGTTAGTGAGCGTTCTTTGTTATCCACCCTGATGTACTTTCACGGCATCATCCTGAAAGCACGATTATCTAATAAGCAGCGTGCGTCTTTCAGTTTGTGACTCATGAATCTCGTGAGTGGGTGAGATAGTGAAGACAGGAGTGCCGGGACACGCTGTGTACACTGCAGAGTGGTTCCATAAAAGGAAACACAAAGGGTAGACGTCACACTGACGTTGGACTTGAGCCAATGAAAATAAGTAAACAACAAACACTGCATATTTTCCAGGAGTTAATTTATTGGTCCAGCAGATGCAGAATCAACTGTACAACATACTGTCCTCTCATGCATAACCCTCAATTATATCAAGGTGCCTCTCATTCCACGCATCCAAAACTACAGAAAAATAAATAAAGAATATAATAAAACATTTTTACATTAAAAAAACAAATTTCAAGTATCTCAAGCAAACATGTTAACAAAAGTTTTACTGAGAGAGGTAAGCAGCGGCTTCTTTCTCAACAGATCGTGTTCTTCATTAGTACAAAAATATTTCTACACAGTCATTTCATTAAAAGACTCCCAAGAAAGTCATCTCCCATGCATTTCCAGTTATACTGTATGTACACTAAAATTTACAAGATATTATTAAAAGCACGCATTGTTGTAATAACAAAAATATAAGTGCTAACATTTGTGCGTAGCAGACAGCAACAGGAAATCAAGGAAAACAAACTTGAAAAATTAAGAACTCTGTTGAATAATCAGCATGCACTGTAGCATTGAAACTAACCAAAATGCAAAATAAATATTCAAACTGTGAAAAGTAAAATATTGACGTGATATGTGGAGTTATTAGGTGATATGTGGTGCCCCTTCTCGAGCAACCAGTTCCAGAGAAATGGCAAGAGAAGCAGCGTCGGGCTTGCAAAACAAGCACTACAGGCACTCTACGGCAAAAATCACCTCCATTACCGTGATGTAACGTGACGTGAAAAAACACATAGTGACACAGAAAACAAACAAAAGTACAAATTTATCCCCACTGTGCAAAATAATCGCTTATTTTAGTGTCAGCATACAAAGGAGTCAATTAAATAATGACACCAGTGCTTCCAAAGAAGTGCCAAAGAGTTTACAATGTAAACTAAATACTAAATCCTTCACTTAAAACCAGTGCAACCATAAGTTGAAAAAACAATGATGGGCTGAAAGATTTATCCAGGTATGAGGGTTGGTCTTTGGTCTCTCCTAAACAATAAACCAGCAGAGACTGGTTTCCCAGAGAGCCATCTGAGGAGTGAGATGTAAAAGGAATGACTGTCGATTTAAATGAGTCACAGTTAGCTTCCTTCATTCTGAATGAATTAAATGCACGACGTTTGGAAAGGTTTCCCAAAAAACACAGATTCTTCATTCTCAAAAAGAAAATGTCTGACAGTAGCAAGACATATCCTTGAACATAAATAGGACAGTGATTAATTAACCATGGTCCTTTTTGAATGAAAGAGGAAAAAAGTTACTTGTGTTCTCGGCTGGCAAAATGATACATTTAATGAGAATGTTGAAAAGTAACTCTTCAATTTTACTCTTCCTTGGTGTTTTGTGTTATTGCCTTCATTGAGTCTTTGTCAGCGATCCACTTTCCGGCCTCTAGAGCCACATGACACATTCTTGCAATTTCATTGGCAGGGCTGCAGGACATCTCGGCGACCAGATGAGCTTCTCCTCAGGTTCTGTAAGCACAAAAAATGCACCAAAACCATTAAGACTTTAGTTAACTTCTGTATTTGGGCAACAATTAACTACGCAACACATTACATTTGGCTGCTAGAAGTTCAACAGCAACAACACGAAAGACAGTGCACAAATATCCTCAGGCCAGATGATACTCTCATGCAGCGTAATCCCTAAACCCCAAGTTACATCACCTTTGTTTTCTCAGGCCCTGATTTCCTCTTTGATATTTTTAGAGGGCATAAAAACTACCACTGAGTTCATGAGTGTGTGAAGAGGTCGCTGTGGCTGACTGCGTGTGTGTGTTTGTCTGCACCGAGGTAATCCTCAAGTGATTATGAATGAACCTGACAAGATCCTCACACACCCAACAGCGTTATCCACGCTTTTCCACTGTGCCAGCAAAACTAGTGCCAACAGGCTATTCCCCTGATGCAGTCAATAAAGACACTGCATGGATTTTTTAACTGTCGCCCGAGAACAATTTGGTTGTCTGTGGTAGGGACACAATTTTGGTCGAAGCCAATGTCATTATCAAAACAAAAAGAGAAGTGACTTAAACAAACGTCATGGTTCTACTGAGAGCTTTCACTGTGGACCAAAGTCACAGTTTGGTGGCCATTTTGGAGGATATTTAGTAGCAGTCAGCAGCTGCTTTTCTAAAACTTTAAATTATCCATCTCAGAAAACAAACATTTCAGTTTGTTTCTGAATAGAAAATCATAACTAGCTCTTTTAATTTGGCTTGTTAATATTATCAGCTTGTTAGCACACTAACTAGCTAACCACCTTTTTTTGTTTTTGCGTGCATGATTAGCACAAAACGTATCTAGTGCAGGCTAATTTTAGCATGTTACATTTGTGTCTTTGCTAATTGAGCCTGCCAGTTAGTTATTTACTTACTACTTTCCATTGCAAAAAAACTAATATTTGTTTTTTTTTAAGTATAGAATTATTGACCAGCTCATTTAATATTGAATATTGTCAGCTTGTTAGCATGTTAACTAGCTGTCATTGTTTTATTGTTAGCACATTTGATTAGCACAAAACAAATGCATCTAGTGGAAGCTAGCTTTAGCATTTTACATTTGCTAAATGAGCCTGTTGGCTACTTGTAGCCTGCTAGATACTTCAAACAAAAAAAATAACATTTGTTTGCTTCAGAGTGGAAATTGGTTTTATCAACGATTTTAATTTAGCCTCTAAATGCTGTCAGCTTGTTAGCACACTAACTACAATTGTTTTATCATTAACACGTTTGATTCACACAGAGCAAGTGCATCTAGTGGGAGCTAGCTTTAGCATTTTACATTTGCTAAATGAGCCTGCTGGCTACTTATAGCCTGTGTAGCTCCACTAAAATGTCTTAATTCTTCACAAAAAAAGTAACATTTGTTAGTTTTTTCAGAATGGAAAATCATTAAATACCCAACACTTAAAATTTAGCTTTTGAATACTGTCAACTTGTGAGCACGCGAACTATCATTGCTTTATTATTAACATGTTTAAGTAGCATAAAACAAGTGCATCTATTGGAAGCTAGCTTTAGCATGCTAAATTTTTGCCTGCTGGCTAGTTTGATTATCTCTTCAAAAATTCTCCTTGTTTAGGGGCAGAATTTTCTAATGAGTTAATTGTGCCACACTAATCTGGTTCGTCTGGTTGTCAGATATTCATCTGATGTCAATAGTGTTAGATGTGGCTGCTGGCAGAGCTACAGTATGAAGCAACTGCAAAGCCTCTACTGTGTGTTTACCTTTGAAAGACTAAGAGTGAAACCACTTTCAGATATTGGAGGACGGTTCGTCTTTAAGCAGGACAAGACAGGCCAAAAATAAACCAAACAGAGACAAGAACAGCATAGTCAGCATGAATCAGCATAGCAAAACAAGCAGATTGTGGTTATGACAACAACAATGACGCAAGCGGGCAGGAATCACAGGAATGTAAACTGGGAAGTGAGGGTTCCCCGTAACCATATATAGTATGAGAGCTTTTTTTTATTTTCCCACACTGACAGGAAACAGCGCTGCTAAACACATATTTCCTGTGAATCAGATCTGGAACAAGCAGACTTACTATGAGAGCATATCTGGGCAGAGAGTCAGTTTACCAAAATATGATGCGTTTATCATAAGAGACTCAAATGTGATTAACAGAAGTAATACAAAGTGTGCATGGGTAAATTTTGAGCAAAATGTGCATCTATATTTCTTTACATAATTTGAGATTTAGCGTCTGTCTTTTTGCTGTTCTCAGTTAAGTTCAGGAAAAGAAATGTGAGCTGTGAACAATGTAAAAGAAGATACAGCCACAAGAAGAGAGTGGAGGGATGAGATAAAAAAGAGCCTGACAGCCAGAGACACTAGAACTGAGTGAATACTTACAGGCAAACTTTGCCCAGCCAGTGCTTTAAGGTGCAGAGGAGGAGAAGGCAGCAGAGGAAAAGAGGATGGAAAACAAGTGAGTGACAAGAGAGTGAATATACATGCTGTCTGAAAGTCTGTATAAGAGGCTGTCAGAAAGGAAACAGAAGATGGGAATGTTTTGTAGTGTCTCGTGTTGTCCTTGATGCTGTTTAAAGAGTTTTCCATCCTGTTAAAAACTGAATTCTCTGCAGACACACAAACCTCTACCCAAATAAAAAATGTCTAATTAGGCACCAGCTTCTCGTGACTTGAGTCGATATAATTAGGTCCTGGCCTTAGAAACCCATAACAATTGAGTTTTAGTAACTCTAAATATATAACACTTGACATTAAATTAAAGTGTGTTTGTGTTTATAAGAAACGTACCTGTCCCGCTAGGGCGAGAGGGATGTGTGAGGGGCTGCAGAGTGCCAGCGAGGCAACAGACGGGGGCAGCTCCTGGATTGGAGCCTCATCCAGGTCATCGATGCGAGGTTTCTTGATGTTTGTCTCGGGGCTGGTCAGAGGAGTCACACTGTTCCTCCTGATCAAGGTGCCAGGACCCCTCTTCACCTCCTAAAGTACACAAAAATATTAAGACACTTAGAGTCCGAAATCAAGTTGCATAATGACGTATTTTAAGCGCTGTATATCATAATAAAAGAGTGCAAAAGAATAATCTGAATAGCTTCCTATCAGCTTTCTGTAATTACCCAAGCTTTATCAAGTTCTTTCCATTTCCCTTTGTAAGGGTCCAGCAGAACATTTCCAGTAATCAGTTTATGAAGCATTACCTCCGGTCTGTCCCTGTGGGTGTTCACTGCCTCCACATTTAGAGAGATGGACTCCACTTTGCACCCATAGGCGACCGGGGTGAGCTTCAGCACCGTGTGGAGGGGACACTTCAGGTAGGGCATCTCCTCTGGAATAGGACAAACATAGATATGAACATCAGATTTGAGTGCCATGAATCATTTTTTAGACGATGACACTAAATCTGAGGGCTTATGGGAGCTGTAGTACCCACCTGCACTTTTATCCAGGAAGTAGGCCAGCAGGCAGCGCATGACAGCCTGGTGACAAATAACCAGGACGTTCTCTTGCCTCTCTAGGTCCATGATGACCGGCTCCACCCGCTGAACCAGATCTTGGTAGGACTGTAAATCAGGAGGGTGTGGTTGTTTATTTTTGTCATTATAATTGATCGTAGTTATATTAAATACCTGCGTTGTTATATCTGGAATGATAATATGGATTATTGTGCTCAATCAGTCAATCAGAAATCAAAATAAATGCTTTGTATTTTGGGTGTGTGAAGGTGCCCAGTGGTTGCAGACTGTGTGTACCTCTCCAGCTGGGTAGCGATAGTAGTATTTGTCTTCATCTCTCAAAGCAAACTCCTCTGGGAATTTCTCCTTCATCTCATCATACGTCATCTCTTCACACAGTCCCTACAAAGAACAAAGAAGTATGATATTTCAGTTTGGCTACAGCTGATATTTTTTGTCAGGTGGTGTAATAGCACGTGTTAAAGTGATACTCACAGCGTCTATCTCATTGAGAGCCTTCCACTGCTCGTACGGGACTCCCAGGTGCTCTGCAGTCTGGATGCTGCTGCACAGCTGGCTTGTCCAAACCTTCAGATCCTGCAGCTGCTGCTCCTCCACAAACCGAGCCAGGGCAACTGAAAACTACAGCAGAGAGGGAACAATATTTAGCACCTGATGTTTATCGGTTATGATGTATAAATCTATTTCATGGTTCTGTCTGTTGCTGTCTGTACCTGTTTGCCACGAGGTGAGAGGCCTGCATCACCGCCCAGCCGCCCCTCCAGGTTGTCGGTGCTCTCTCCGTGCCGACACAGGTAGATGGTGCGGGGCTGAACGTGGATGTTCATCAGGTAGTAGACGATCTTACTCTGGATGTGATCCTGGATCCGGTTAACAAGGAAACGCCGGCCCACATCTATCACCTTGATGAAGGAGAGATCTCTGGAGGAAGAACAGGAGCGATTAGTGTCTGAGTTTGTATCGGATGTTGCAGATGTTCTAAGAAAACCAATGCTGATTATTTACCTGTCATACTGATCAGGGTCCAGAGGTTCGTAGCTGGTTTTGTAGCATTCAATTCTTCTCTGGAAATCCAACATGGCATCAGTCTTGTTGCAGTCCCGGTAGTCAGGACACGACACCTTCACTTCCTGCGCAGGAAGGAAGACTGTCAAGCGGCAAACAACACGCCTGATGCCAGAGAGTTATAAACATTTTGTGTCATTTCAAACAGGATGCATGGTGATGTCATTCTGTTTGTGACCTACCATGATGTTCGACGCGATGACGCTGGGATCGTCGCACACGGACTCGATGAAAAAGATCTGGGCACGAGACAGAGGAGCAGTTAGAAAGTTGCTGCATTGTTAATGATGTCATACCTTGAGTCCTCAGGTCACCATAGTAACACTCACTTTGAAATCATTCTCACTGCCAAACTGCAGGATCATGTCTCGCCTTTCCCTTGTTGTGTTTGTGGCATCAAAGACCTGAAAGAGACATAAAAGAAACTTGTAAGACGATATGTTTTCATGAGATCATGTCACAAATTGGATTAAGTAAAAAAAAAGTATGCAATGCATGATAGGAAACTCACCGCTACTTGGCCTCCCTCGTCCTTCAAATAGGATTTGACATCCCTCAAGGCTGCTAAGGCACATTGCCTAAAGAACAAAGACAGTTATTTTTATTTTATGTTATAAATTATAAATAAAATGTATACAGTAGATTACTGTAATTGTGCTTGTGTATTTGTGTTGAACTTACTGCCTGATTTTCACGGCACACTCATTATCAGGCTTGAAGAAGTCATAGGAGCTGTAGTTCTTGACCGCCTCTCTGCGGTACTCTCCCACATTGAAGACTACAACACACAGACAGAAGTAGAAGCATGAACATGATGTCCTGGAGGTAGAAACATAAGTCGATCCTGTTTGGCGAAACACTTCGAGAAGCAGAGTGTTGTCCTGTAACTGATATGCTACAAATTACCATGTGTTGTTTACCTTTGGTGGGCATGCCGATCCAGTTGAGGTAGCGGGTGAGTTTCTTGGACATGTATGTCTTGCCTCTAGCCGGAAGACCCACCATCACGATGACCGTGGGGGGGTTGGCGAAGTGAGGGGCGCCGGCCACTGCAGGGAGGGGTGACAAGGTAGGGGAATGTGTTATGACAGTGGTTGCAGAACTACAAACGATTTAACACCATCCTTAACAAGCTGTATCAGTCAGTCAGTGAATGAGCAGTACAAAACACTGATATATTTAGCATATGCAACCTGAGACGGCCATAACCAGCTGCCAGAGACCTGGGATAAAGAACAGCTGCTCACCAAGAGGTGCAACTTGTCCTGGATTCATTCATTATTATTATCTCTATTTCTCTCCATGCTGTCACACACAGCGGGCACGTGGCTGTCTGCTGCCGCCAGACTCGCCTTTCACTTCCACTTCATTGCACATCTGACCCAATTCTGCACGCGCTGAACTGGCTCACACAACCCAGATGAGTTGTTTTCACCTGACCACATATACTGTAACCGCACCCTGAGGTCCATATGAGGTGTTATATCATATGATATGTTGGTGCAGGTTGCCCTGGATTTAGGAATGCAGGGCATTGTTTCAACATGAAAAACGTGTTTTGTAGGTCACTGACATTGTGAATAAATTACTTGAGATTGTTTAAGTGAAGCAGCAAATGCTTCATGTCAAATTTCCTTAGTTCCCTCATCTCCTTCAATGGGTCTTTTTTTTTTCATCCAGGTGTGCAGGACTCTTTTCAGTCTCTATCAAAGTAGCTGTAAACATTAGCAGTGCTCACTCATCGCATGATAACGCCCCGAGAGCTCATTTATACTCGCTAATCTTGTTTCCATAACAAAAGAGCCACGTTGCTTAAGCAGAAAAACGGATCATACTCTAAGACGATCCTCGGACACCTGGGTCATTGTCACCTCCCCGACCTGTCCGTTCTCTTTTCATCCATCTCCATCTCACCTACTGTACAGTATCCAACCTCTGCTGTTCTGCTTTTGTGAACCCAGATGTGCAGCTACTTTGTCAATGTAAAGAAAACCTTTATGTCTTACACCTCAAGTTAAGGTTGCTCTAATATTGTTCAGGGTTTTTAAATCATCTCCAGCTGTAGCATTACATTTTAGCACTAAAATCTGAAATGTCTGCCAAGTTTGTGGAGAAATTTGAGGCAGAAATTTGCAGATATTTGACTTCTGTCCACCCTATTTGCATCCATGAAAATTCCCCAGAAGCGCAAACAAAAGAGAAAGCCTCTCAGTGACACAGAGAGACTGTAAATTGCCGCAGAAACCACAAAGTGCCTGTTCTCTGAGCACACATCCCTCAACAATAATGTCTTCCCTGTGGTCTCTTTGGTGTCGAGCCAGAGAGGACACAGCGGCCAGGGTCGCGCCATGCACACGCGCTGCCCAGCTGACCAATTGGAAAATGGTACCGCTTCAAAAAGCCTGGGAGACAGAGGTTGCGGGGCACCTTGGTAACCATGGTGACTGGGGCTTCGTCACGGCTCAGATGGAGGACTGTGACGCGCGGCGCGTGCTAATGAGGACCACCAATCAATGAAGTAAAATCAAAAGACCGGTGAAGGGCAGGTGCGCTGCGACGTCACAGCGGAACTATGGCGGCCGGCGGAAACACGAGTGAAAATGTCGAGTAAAAATATGTCAACTGTTACAGAAACACTAATTGGTTGGTGAAAGGTTGTACTACGTGAACGGAAGTGGCCGAACTGACCACTACAGACACACGCTTCGTCACTAAGAGAGCTATAAAAGACAAAGGGGCTGTCTACTGTAAGGTAATAAACACTGTAAGTCCATTTAAAAATACAGCAGGGACAGACAACGACAGAAGAACGTATAATGATGCTTGGAATATCATATGAATATAGAAATATCACAGGGTTTTACCTCTGCGAGGTGCCGGCTTGTCATCCTTGGTGGGCACCCAGATCTTTTGGATCCTGTTCTGGGTCAGCTCTCTGGGCATTCCTTAAGGACTGAAGAGTCGCACAGTACACGAGAACCGAGCCGGTTAAATTCCGAGGAAACAAAGGACCGAAAAAGAGCCGGTGGTTGTTAAAGCAGGAGCCTTGTCCGTTCAGCTAAAAATGAATCGAGCTGCTCTCAATGGCGCGTTGAGCCGGGCTAATCTGCCGGTCTGCGGCACACATCCGCTATATAACCCGGCCAGGCTGGGAGAGCAACGTGACTGCTATGACGACATATACACGCGCGCGCACACACATACACGAACACGCAGGCAGCCACAGCGCCTCTGTGTGGTAATCCAACTCTCATAGATAATATTTCATGTATTTTAATTTGTATGAAGTGTAATAATAAACAAAGGTTTTCCCCTATATTACATTTTATTTTATTTTTAAAATATTTTTTAATTAGCAGAAGCAGCCGAAGTAATTTATAGCTATTTATTCTATATTACTATTTTATTAACATTATTACATTATCGTTATTTAAATATACACAAATATATTACGATAGCAGGCTATATTTATATACGTGTATTCTAATTTGTATTCAGTGTATTAGTAAACAAAGACTTATTCAGATTAATGTCTTCATTATTTTTTCAAAACGGAAGCAGCAGCCAAAGGGATTTAAATTCAGTCTAAATTATTATATTTTAATAATATTATTAGTCTCTTTTGAAATACAATATTTTTAAATATATTTTCAAACTGTTACAGGCTATTTGCTGTTTGTTTTTATCTTTTTAGTAAGATTGCAAGTGCTAGCTGTAGTAATGTAGTAATGATTTTACTATTTTCTACATTAGATTTTTTTTTTTTTATGAAGTCATCAGAACTTAAATACAAAGGGTGGATGCCTTTAATATCACTCTTAATAACTTAATAAGCACTCTCTCCACTTCTACCTGTTGCTACAACACAAGCTCCGTGGCAGTCTCCCCTCTCTGAGATCACACCCTGAAGAAACGTGCAGAATCTCACATCAGCTCTCTCTGCTTCCTCACACCGGGTTGTCCCATTGACTCATAATGGGTATGGTCATATATAGAGTTTACTGTATATAGGCCTAGTGATTTCGTAAAAACTTAAAAAAAAAAGAAAAAAAAAAGCCCCCGCTGACCTAACAGGTTTGAACTCAAGTGCACCAAGAGTTTTGACGCGGAATGATGAGAAATCAGACTAAAAATAAGCGACATTACATCATAAATATATACTAATTCATCGTGTTTTAGAGCTATAGGAGAGCATGTATGAACCAATCCGATTGTTTTTAAAAAGCAGTGTGTGTATGCAGCTTTCTACAGCACATGGACTAAATATAGGTTACCCACTGAGCTTCTGCTGGTTTACAGTTTCAGCCTGAAACTTATACAACCAGGCTGCAGCTGCAGATGGAGAGCCCATGAACACACACCACCTCATCAAACCATTACCTTGCAATACTTTTCAAGCACAATATATCTTATCTTCAAATCTCTCTGACATCAGTGAATCCAAATTTAGCGACTGCGTTATTCGCAAGTGACTCAAAAGCGTATCTGCATTGTTCATCGCTGACTTTTCATGATTCAGTTTGCACTCGCAGCTATTATTTTTCTGCGATTACACCTGTAACCTCTTTTGGAATGTGCTATACCCTATGTGAAGATTGGTGATGTATACTTTTCATTCTACGGTAATGATACAGTATTTGAAGTACATTGTGGCTGCACTGTAAAAAAAATGTAGTTCAAAATTCTTTACCAAGGTCTGCATTTCTTCAACTTTTTACAGTGTAGTGAAATTCCTCCGTTGCTTCAGTTTGAAAAGCCTCTGAACTCTCTCCAACCTTTCCCCCCAAATTTATTGTAATCCAACTGAATTCCTGTTTATTAATCAGAGTGACAAACTTTTTTCCTGTTAACCACTTGAACAAAGGGCAGCTGTGGGACAAAAGGAGTATAGTTTTGCTATTTATGTGTTGAACATCCTCCCTAAAACATGAAGAGTGAGTGCAGTTATTTTCTCCAGCACAAGGAGAACAGAAGGAAAACGTGCACAAGGTCAGGTCATCATGTTTCCACCTGGAGGATTGAGATGTGTCAGTGTTCGGGTGGAGAAACTGGTTGTGAAACTGTTTGTCCTGATAGTGAGACACTTTTTAAACTTTGCCTTAGAATAAAAAAAGTGTGTGAGTGTGGGGAAGATAAAGTTTATATAAGAACACGGAAGAAATTTCTGGGGTTTTATATGATAAGATTATCTCCTTTATTTAACTTAGAGGAACACTCTTATTTTTACTGGAAAGACTCACAGTGAAGAAAACATGCCTGCTGGATAAAAGATGCTTATGATTCAACTAAGGCTTGTACAGTTGTTTTCTTATGTCTTATTGTTTTCTTAAGTATGAACTCGTAACTTTTCACATATATTGCAAATGCAGAGAGTTTGACAGTGATTTAGATTGTATTTTGTCCCAGGAGGATAAACTGCTTGTCTGTCCTGGCCAGCATTTCCTAAAAATAGTGATGAGTCCAATGGGGCTAGGCTGAGAATAAGGTAATTAAAATAATATTTGTTAGGAAAACACTTGATTAACTCTCAAGTCTGTAATGAAATTAACTTTGATGGACATCTTTCTAAGCACAAAATGGGTCATTGTTCCTGGTTTGAAATATTATTTACCAAACACTGAGTAATTCAGGAGACTTTGTTAGTTACCAGTAATGCATATATCCCCTGACTCCCTTAGAGCCTCACACTGAATCGTCATCCAGCAGGGTCTGGGACTATGAGACTATGAGTCTGACAGCCAGAGAGGAAGAGAGGAGACAGCCAGTCTCCTCCAGTGTTTAAGTCAATAGTCACACCAATTCATTACATATAGTACCAGTACACACTTACAACTTCAGCACTACAACGCAGTAATACAATGTGCAGCATGTACTTTGTGCTTTCTAGTATATCTGATAAACATTAGTAAGTAGAGTGAAAAAAAACCTTCACATTTTCATCCACCTTTTTGTTAATAGTTCACATTTTTGCCATGTATAAAGAAAATTCAAAGAAGAGACTTCCTGCCGTTTTTCAGAAGAATACAGTGGGAGAAGTTGAACCAACTACTTTGAAGCAGTAACAATCTGTCTAAATTATATGGCTGTGGATTTTTTTTTAGCTTACCATGATTTTTTTGACATACCATACTAATGATATACACGACACTTTATTACTGTATTATGAATTTCTTTTGACATACTATACTATGTTCTTTTTATTCATTTTTTTTTACATACTATACTATGTTTTTTCATTCCATTTTTATAAAATATTTTATTACTAGTCCATACCCATTGAGTGCACAGTTGCCAGTTGCCCACGTACAGTTTCACATGGTGTGTGTTTGGGATACAGGTCATAGGAAATTGCAGTTTAAATAGTCAACTGAACCCATTAAGAAGAGCAATGTATTCAGACAGAGTTTTTGTGAATTTGATAGTACGATTGCAGCCACAGCGACCTGTCGCATTTTAGCCATTTTTCTGTTGTTATAGCGCCACCCAGTTGCCAATTAGAATTAAATTTCTCCAGTCACGTTGAGGCGTCCTATTCTACATACCAAGTTTAGTAAAAATCGATATGGCGGTTAGGCCTAGATAAGAAATGAGCATCCTCCCATTACCCTCTACCACTGTGCCAAATTTCACATGGATTGACCAAGTCAGTGAGGAGAAAAACGTGGAACAGACACACCCACAGACAGACAGAGTTTTCGTCATTATATCGTAAGATAAGATATAGTAACATAGTAAGATAAGATATAGTAAGATGACTTGTATTACATTTTTATGACATAGTGTACTTTGACTTTCTATTCCATTTGTATGATTAACTGTACTGTGGCCTTTTTTGACATATTATACTATAACATTTTATTCCATTTTAATGGCATACTATATGATGACTTTTTTATTCATTTTTTTTACGACATACTTTAGTATGACTTTTTTGACATACTGTACTATGATATTTTTTTTTATTCCATTTTTGTATGACATACTATACTATGGCCTTTTTTTTTTGACATATCAATTCATTCTTTATTTCAGACCCAGGGGGATCCATATCACAATAAAAAAACACAGTAAAAAAGACAGCAGAGTAAAAATAAGAAAGAAAAATAACACACAAGATACACAAAATACAAAGCCTTCCACAATGTTCAGTGTCTAACATACAGACATGTTCGCCAATGGTTCCACAGTCTGGAAGAAAATCTGACAGAACTGCATACAGGGTTAGCCAAAACAGCGATTAAGTCGTTTTCTGACTCAGATGCCATACACATACATCAGGTTACATAGAACAGCAGAGCAGGTAGGTACCCCAACACTAACAAACATATGGCTTGCACTTGAGCCTCTTGAAGCTCTTAGCAGCAGCCGCATGCTGTCATTATAAGCCACTGTGAGTTTTCTATATTATGACTTTTTTTTCCACAATTTTTATGACATACTATACTATGACCTTTTTTGACATACTATACTATGACTTTTTTTACTCCATTTTTATGACATACTATACTATGACTTTTTTCCTATTTTTATTACATACTATACTATGACTTTTTTTGACAAACTATACTATGACTTTTTTATTCCATTTATATGACATACTATACTATGACCTTTTTTGACATACTATACTATGACTTTTTTTACTCCATTTTTATGACATACTATACTATGACTTTTTTTCCTATTTTTGTGACATACTATACTATGACTTTTTTATTCCCTTTTTGTAACATACCTATACTATAAACCTTTTTTTGACATACTATACTATGACTTTTTTCCTATTTTTGTGACATACTATGCTATGACTTTTTTATTCCCTTTTTGTAACATACCTATACTATAAACCTTTTTTTGACATACTATACTATGACTTTTTTTCCCATTTTTATGTCATATTATACTATGACTTTTTTATTCCATTTTTATGACATACTATACTATGACCTTTTTCCTATTTTTGTGACATACTATACTATGACTTTTTTCCTATTTTTGTGACATACTATACTATGACTTTTTTATTCCCTTTTTGTAACATACCTATACTATAAACTTTTTTTGACATACTATACTATGACCTTTTTTGACAAACTATACTATGACCTTTTTTATTCCATTTATATGACATACTATACTATGA